GAAAGGATACATAATCCACCTGCAGTTACACCAAGATAGGTTTTAAATTTTCTTGTAACTACTCTCAGAGGATTTAGGACAATAAGTCTTTCATCCTTGACCTTTCAGATGAGTTCTAAATGTAAAGCACAAAGTCTCTGCTGGGGACACTCATTTTATCACTCAGCCAAGGCCTGCTGGCTTTAGTATCCTTTTGTGTCAATTTAAAAGTTGCTCTCATTTGGGCAGAGAAGTATAGACAAAGATGACTAAAGTGGTCTTAACCTCAAAAGGACAATAATAACTGACTTTATAGTAACAAAGAAAGGAACTTAAATTATGTCCTAGTCATTTTGTGGGAGTGCCTCATTACGAGATAACATTAAATACAAATTAAAATCTAAGTGAAGCAACCAAAACAGAAACCTATATTTTATCCGAGCTTGGTATTTGGTATTTTCTGCACCAAAACCCTAGCCACAGCTGGCACCCGTAGATATATGACCACACAATGTCACCGCATCAACATCGTGTTTTGTATTTTGCTGTTTTTCTATTCTTAAATGTCTAAAATCCAACAAGCAGAACGCTGGCACACACACAGTGCACAGAGCTAAACAACAAATTGCTGCTCTAGGCTGTGCAGACCAGGCTTTGTGGACTACTTTGCCACTGCAGTGCACCCATCACTTCGCTGGCAGAAAGAGCTTCTCTAAATTCAGTTAATGGATTTTAGGGTACAGCCTTTAAAAAAATTATTATAGAAACATCAAAGAAACATTTATATCCTCTGCACTTCTCAATTTCTCTCATATTTTTAGTCACAAACCTCAATTTATTTCTTAAACATGTAAGCTCTTTAAACTATATTATGTATTTGTTTTACATAACTTAACTGGTTCTACAAAAAAATAAAACTGCGAATAACTTCAAGATATACTAACCTAATCTACAACAGGCATGAAACATTGAAGCCGAGACCTAAGAAAAGAGCTGCAGGGCTTCAAAGCAGAGACACAGGGTCTCTGAGCTGCACTTTGGTGTCTCAGACTGTGAAACTTTCTCGAAGCCCTTTGGCAAGAAGGGGCATCTGCAAACTTAGCCTGAATGTCCACTAAACGTTGATCTCATTGAAATAGAAACTGCATGAAAATTAATTAGGGATTCGTATTATAATCAGCTAATTTCAGCCATAAAACTAAACATTAGATAATGGCTATTATCCCAATAGAACTATATAAGAGGTCCTGTTTTTGTGACAAATGAGTGAGGATTACGCATGCAGCTCCAGAGGGACATGTGCACCCAACTGGTGCATTAGTCGGCCACAGGAAACATGCTCAAGCAAAAATATATATATTTTTTTTTGTTTTTGTTTTTTTTTACAGAAAACCAAACTGCTATTTTATAATTATTATAAAAGGACAGGGGAGAAAACTAGTGTTTATCAGTAGGTCTAGAGGAAAAATGATTAACAGTTAATGATTGGTTGAGGTATAAAATATCACAAAATTAGATATCAGTGGAAAAATAAATGTTGTGCATCCATAAGATTCATTATTTGGTTATGTATTCTTTATCAACCAATGCCAGGACACAAGGTTTCTAAGAAATACTGCTCTGTGAATAAAAGCAGACCGACATTTCTGAGTTGATAGGTCTAGGCACTACTACTTAAAAAATAAAATTCTTCAGAACAAATCAAGCAAGCAGAAAGTTATGCTATCTTGTCTTTTTTCACTCATTTTGCTTTCTCTTTTGGCTTGTTCCAGGAGGAGCCCCGAGTGGTCCTTAATTATTTAGATGATATCAGAGATGACATCATATTGTGTGTAGAGTAAACTCTGTCAGGTCTTTATTTTATTTAAAACCTTCTGCCATGCCATATAAAGTAGTTATCTAGACCTATTCACAAATTCAGGATCAATTGCAATTAGTTTGGCCATATTTTAGTCATAGTTGCATAGTGGCTTATATGGTTGAACAGCAGGAATAATAGTTTTAATAGAAAAGACACAAACAAACAAACAAACAAAAAAATCGATTTAAGGGGACTCTAATAAAAATGTTTGGAGAATACCAAAGAAACAAAGACAGAAGACCAAAACTAGAAAAGCCCTCCTCAGAGAGCCCAGACCTCCACCAAGCAACAAATGCTGCCCCATATTGTGACCTTTACCTAGAGCTAAAACTCACACATGATCTGGATCATTACCAAATGTTCTGTTCTCACGTTTTTCATTCACTCGGCTTTCTTATTTAGTCAGCAGATCAGGACTTCAAGCGAGGCATGGCTCACCATTCCTGTGTTTTTGGCTTCAGTAAAATACTTCAGGACTTTTTTGAGTCCAAAGTTATCAATAGTCAGTGCTGCCACTCTTTGGTTTAGGGGGTAAGTGCTTGTTCTGCCAATAATGTTGAAGAATCCTTACAAAATTCCGGCTTCCAAAATGTAATGGATTGTTGCTTGGATGGAGGTGCACCTTTAGTAAAAATCTCATTAAAATCGGTTTATATCTTTTAAAGTTATCCGGCACACAGACAGAACCAAACTCGACAAAAAACATAATCTCCTTGTTGGAGGTAAAAATAAGTACATGATGGTTAGGAAACAGAAACAGAAAGCACTGACCACAAATCTTCAGAGGAGCCTCGAGCTCCAGCAGGATTGGCTGGCTGAGGAAGATCTCCCTGGATTTGATGCAAAGGCCACGTACCTCTGCCTCAGTCATCTGGACTATCTTCCCCGGACGACATCCTCGCACTGTAAGAGCAAAACATGACTGTAAGAGAGACTGTCAGCTTTAATAATGAGGTCTTCTCTCAAGGAGCAGCAGGGGCAGCATCAGAAAGGGGCCACGGTGGAATCGCGCTTCAAGCAGAACCACTTTAGTCTTCTTCTAAGCAGAGGAACTGGGAGTGTAAAGATGATGCTTAGAACCGATTAGCCTCAGCAGAACTTTAGAAACCCGGTGCTGAAGCTGTGAAAGCGCTAACATCCTAACTCGCAGTGTTTGCTGTTTGGCCTTTGATGCACCAGTGTGGGCTTAACCTACTTTATGTTATTCTGACCCATCTTGGAACAGTAAAAGGAAAAGAGAGAGCTGCTAAATGCTGGCTGGGGTCCAAAACTGAATAAGGTGATGTCAAAATGGATTATTTAAAGGTAAATGAAACAAAAGAAAACTTATTGTATTCTCAGGTTTCAGTAGCCTCTTTTTTTAACAGCGGCTAAAATAGCATAATTACTCAAAAACTATAGTTATTTTATCTGTTCCACACAGCTAAATGCCAGGAAAAGGTCCAAGAAAGAGTGAAAGAAAAAAATAATGGTTTGCTAAAATTCGCTTTCTAACTTTTTTTTTTTTTTTTTTTAACAAACCAATAGAAAAGAGAAAAATGAAAGCTAATGTACACCTTAGGGAATGCTTTTCTGTACATATTAATCTACACCCACATTTGACATCCTATTCCAACAAAAGCACTCAAACTTCCATTCTGTTTCTGTCACTGATTAGTCATATAATTGAATGCGCTACAAGGTTTAGACATTAAATCAAACATGATAAAATAACAAACATTTACAGATGATGCATCCGATGACCCAAAACATTATAGAGCTTTAGCCTTTTTTTTTTTTTTTGATAATTGGCCATCTACTTTTTACCCACATTCAGTGCATTTGTGCTCATTAGCAGACCCCATCAGCATGGAGTACGTTAAGCTGGGATGATCAGCCTACTCGGCTTTAACGCTCAATATTTCACTGTTGCAGTGGCATGCTGCAGACTGCCACTTCTAGAAGAGATTAGGTTTATCAGATCAACCAGTGGCAAAAGCTGAAAGTAGTAGAATCGGCTCCAATACCAGTAATAGAAAATATACTCTGAGTGCGTTAAAAACAAGGTTTCAGCAAAAATATAATGCTCTTTTGATGGATCCGTTTTTGTCTTCATCTACTTATCGTTCATTTTGTGTGCACAGGTGCATTGCTAAAATCAACTTGTAACAGCTTCATCAGGGGGTCTAGGTTTCTACTTGTAAATATGTGATGAATCTTACTTGTAGTTTTTTACAGTTCAAATATGTATTCCTAATTTCTACACGTTTATTGTCACAAATGTATGAGTTGAAAGAAATACAAAACCTAAATATATTTCAGTTTATAAACCTACATTTACCAATTCAGACAGATGACAGTTATCTTGCAACATCTCCAAAAAAACAAAAAATCTAAAATTGGCCAACAGAACACTGACTGCTGGATTTCTGCCTGCTCTAAGGTAATATACCATAAAAATATACCTACACTTGATGCAAATCCATTTCAGAATATTCTTTTTTTACTTGTGTATTTCAAGTGTTCAAGTTTCTCTTGGTATTTGTTTGAAGCTTTTGCTTTATTATTACTACTTTATTATTACTACTAGAAGAAATAATCCTTTATTGGGCAAACGGCTTTAACTAAAAGGCCTAACTTTGGTTACTTCTGGTTACTGAGCGGAAAAAGTCTGAACTACGAGGTAATCCTAATAACAAGGCTGACACACCTTTAAACCTAATCGATAAACCATTGCAAATGAGAGAATTACTGCAGACTGCAGACTATCAGTCGATTTTTGAACTGGAAAAAAAAAAACTATACTACAACAATACTAACTGCCACTCTCCCCCCCCCCAAAAAAAAAATAATGAAAAACATTTCTAGCATAAACAGAAAGTTAATATCACTTATGTTTTACAGGATTTGTTTATAATAGAAACCCATGATTGTGGCCACAAACCAATTACAGCTAAATTTGCCCCTTTATTGACTGGTAAAAACAATTTAAAGATCAAATATGTCTCACTTTTGCACTTTTATCTTCTTATGAGTCTTTAGAAAGAAACAAACAATTGAAAGGGATTTAAATATATGTTGAAGGATGAATCAGTAAAGCTTCCCACACACTTAAACCAAATAAAATGTGAAACTAAAAAAACAGGGCAGCTTTGAGGCAAACACAAAGAAACCATGGGATTCTGGTCAAATATCAAATGAAAAGGGAGATATTCTTTTTCGGTTTGGGTGAATGAATGGCCTCTATTCAAAACATTAAACACAACAAAGAGAGTTGGCTTATGTGAAAACATTCAACCATGAAGGATTAGAATGGGATTGTGGAATCATCTATGCAGAGCATTCTATGCATTGTAGTTCAACACTCTCACTCACACATCTGTTTTGTTTTCAAATTATTTAACATTGAATTGCTATAAAAGATATCCAATGAACATTTACATTGATGCATTAAATTAGATGCACGCAGACGGCCGTCAAGTCTGTAAAATGGCATTTATTTTTTCAAATCTCAACTGTTAAAACATATGTAGCTAAAATAAAAAGACCAATGATAAAACTTAAATATTCATATATTTTAGATTCATTGCACACTAACTGAAACATTTCAGGTCTTTTATTGTCTTAATATGGATGATTTTGGCAAACAGCTCATGAAAAAAACAATTCATTCTATCTCATGAAATTAGCATATTTCATCTGACCAATAAAAGAAAAGTGTTCTCAATACAAAAAAAGTCAACCTTCAAATAATTACGCACAGTTATGCACTCAATACTTGGTCGTAATACTTTTACAGAAATGACTGCTTCAATGCGGCGTAGCATGGAGGCAATCAGCCTGTGGTACTGCTGAGGTGATATGGAGGCCCAAGATGCTTCGATAGCAGCCTTTAGCTCATCCAGAGTGTTGGGTCTTGAGTCTCTTAACTTTCTATTGATAATATCCCACAGATTCTCTTCTGAGATAGGAATTTTGGGTTTTCATGAGCTGTATGCCAAAATCATCCGTATTAAGACAATAAAATACCTGAAATAATAAATAAATAATAATAATAATGAACTTTATCACAATATGCTAATATTTTGAAAAGGACCTGTAGTTGCAATGCATCCTCTTTTTTTCCCTGAACAGTAGAATCTTGATCACTAAAATTTGCACTAGGCGTAGAGTGGGTATAAAGAACAGTGTAAGCACATCCAACCAGTGTAATACTTTATTGGCAAGGAGAGTGTGAATGTATGGCAGACAATGTGTGGGAATGGAGCATTACTCATAAAAAAATACAGATGAGTATAACCAGCAAAAAGCTGTATTCTTCTTTTTTTATATATATCCTGATTAAGTGTATACATGAGAAACAAAGATAACATTACAGTAAATGTAGTAGTTAAAAAAAAACGTATCTGTATGAGTAATTATTGAGTATAATTATACACAAGATTACCATACAGGGATAATCCCCATTGAGTTCATGCCGAAGAACAAATGCATTTAAAGACAATGCAATCAAAGAAATACACCTATATTGGCAAAAAAAGAGTAGCTAATAGTTAATGCTGTATTTTGTTTTGCTTTTATGTGTTGCCTTCCACTTGTTAGTAACGAGGCCGTTTCAAACAACCTGCCCGAGGCAAAGCAAAAACGTCCCCGCCCCTCCTACTGAACATCAACCGTTTAGAAAATAAATGTGCAAAATAAAAACAGAAGCTATAAAACCGCAATGCACAAAATGTATTTATGCATTTAAAACAATTGGAGGGGTTACTGTAAGTTACGCAAAGCCTCTAACAAAACTGCGCCAATGAAAACATGTAGGCGTTCATTGCTGGAAGTGTTTATAAACACGGCCAGGCAGCTAACGGCGATGCTAGCAGCAGCTAGCCAGGGATACAACGATACCAACGGCTGATGTTAGCCTTAGCTGCTAACACTAGCCTGCGATCCTTTAAAAAAGGAAAAGAAACGGTAGTAAGTGAAACACTCGAATTAGACGACCCGAATGACAAAACTCGAACTTCTGCTGTGTTAAACAAAACACATTTAAGAAAATAAATTACCCTCCAGAAGACGAGAGATGAGGCTATCCACGTTCAATTCCCCCTCCGCCATCTTCACTGATGTTGAACAGTGTCAACTGGTTGTTATTCACAGTAGACACTAGAGGGCGCTATCGAGAAAAAAGACACAAAAAGTACAAAACAGTGATACCAGGCAAGCTGATTAAACGTTTAATTCTCTGCTATTCATAGGGAAATTTTGTAATAAAAACTACAAAATAAAATATTACAATTTTCCATAAGACTGTATCAATAATTATAAAACGCAAAACGTACCCTAATTCCAGTGATGTAAATAAAACAGAAGGCCAATTTGTGCACATCAAAACAAAGCAAATTAGGTACAGGTTAAGATTATTATTCATTGCTTAATCTAAACAGATAACTATGTTATGTTTTCCAATCAGAAACTATTAAATCTTTATCTAAAAAATTGCTAAAAGACAAAAAACAAATTGCCCTAAAAAGTATAAAAACCTTTGTGACTCTAAAAACCAAATTACCTTCTGATTTATTCTCTTATTATTTGAACTTTGCTAGTTTTAAGGTGGGGGAAAAACAATCTTAACCCTGAGACTCCTAAATAAAATACAGTGGAAAAACAGATTTTAGAAATAATGTAAACTATAGTTCAGGTAGGTCATTAAAATTGATATCAGTAAACAAATCCAGCTATTTAGATCTTAGACGATAGTTACATAACTTGTTTAATATGGAGCTAGAAAAGTCTCAAACTCACATATTTTAACCACACATGCTCAAAATCCACACATGCAAATAATTATTTAAACAAGCACATGCAAATTACATATTCACAAGACAAGATTCACAAAATTATTTCTGATGCACACACAATTTAATCTTTATTTATAAACTACTTGTGCATTTTTGTGTTGATTTTAGAGACTTACCTGATGTGACTCGATGCACAAATGCAATTTTTAACAATCTTTAAATTGCAACCAAGTGGATAACTTCATTATTTTTTGCCAATCTCATAAAACATATACCACATGTATACTTTTTTGTTATAAACCAATCACACCTCGCTACATTTCCTGCTGTTAGTTCTCTTTGCTCCAGATTGGTGTATGGTCAGTGGTCTTTCTCTGGCACGCTCTTTACCGGCGCTTTGGAGGAGGATAGTGGTAGATCTGAGCCAGATGCCCTTCAGATGTGACCAGAGCTGGGGCAAAGCGTTAGGTGGCTGGTTCTAGCTCTGGAGGCTAAGCAGGGAGTTTGAATGCCTAGGCAGAGTGCAGAGCCAGGTTGGGGGTCAGCTCTGGAAGCTATGTGAAAAGTATGAATGATAGATGACTTAACAATCCCTTTAGAGGCTAAATTGAAACAGCCTCTTTAAATGCCACCCCTTGCCTCTACATAGCATTCCTTACTTAATCAACATTTGGCTGTCTTTAACTGAAAAAAACTTTGTTTTTACTACACTATTTATTCATTGCTTTATTATTATTTTTTTTATGTGGAACTGTTGTTGATTTAATATCATCTTATTAAACATATCTTTAAAAAAACGTAAAAGAATATTAACCAATGTAGGTTGTTTTTAATTAACACAACACAAAACATGAAAAGCAACAGCTGGAATAGGATATAGAATCCAAATATGGTATCAGTCTCTGCCTCTTTCTGTTGGCTTCAGTGGCATCCTACTATTCCATATAACAAAATCATTGCTCATGTGTTAAATGTTCATGTGGTTGGCTGCAGCAGTGGAGTTACCTAATTGGTTCCAGCTTGGTAAAAAAAAAAAAAAAATGAACTGAGTCACATTAGGGGAGTTTAAAAAAATCCACACACAAATGCAGCGAAGTTGTTAAAAACCCCTGGTAGGGTATAAATTAAGATATAATTGTGTATCTTTACTTGTAAATATTACATTCATATGCCTTTTTGGATCATCATGTGCATGTATGAATCTTTTTCTGCACTTGTGTGGATTGTGCTGTGCATTTTTGGATCTTGTCATGTGCATGTGTGGATCATTTCCTTTGCATGTATGGATCTTACTCTGTGCATGTATGGATCTTGTCCTGTGCATGTGGGGATCACATATGTGAGTTTGTGAATACTGACACCCTTCTAGCTCCATAGTATGGAGCTCCATAGTTAAAAAACCAAACAGCCATGTAAGTAAAATAAGGAGAGGAGAAATAAAGCATACCAAAAGCATATCCCAGGCGTTAAATACATTGCAGATTAAGATAAATTTCTCAGCACAAAATGGGAAGCCCATGCATTCAACAAGTGCAAACCTACCGAAGTATGGCTCTTTACCTAAACTGTCATGCAACGAGACTCACAGTAAACAAAAACAATAAAGAAAAACTAGTAATGGACATCATTTATTAAATAAAATGTATTTTCTATAATATCCTTCGACCTTGTCCTAACTGATACCCTAATGATATTTACATTTTCTTCTTTTGGTTTAAGTATTTTCCACCCCTTTTAGTGGTATTATAAATAAATGAAGCTGTGTCATGCCTTACCCATTATAAGGGTTCAGTTAGGATGTTATAACACTTTTACAGCTTTTCAAGGAGCACAAGGACAAAAATAATCACCCTCAAATCATTTATTCCAACAAAATATACAATTATTTTCTTTAAACCAAACATTGAAAGAAGAATGCCACACAATAACCACACATTATGTACACTTTTTTCTGTCCAGCTTTGAGCAGAACATTATATCTATTACTTTATGTTACATTATATAAAAACCCGAGTTACAGATATGAGGCAGGAGGTAATGTGCAACCAGCAAAGGTAGTCTGCGTCCTTGCACATTTTGCATGTTCTCTGCAGTGGTTTGTGACTATATATGTTAGTTGTTAGACCAGCTACAACTTTTAAATATGCCTTACCTGATTATGCATGGATAAAATGTGCAACTGTTCCTCGTTTTTGATATGTTTAAACAAAGCTTAAGGGCATTTGCTCTCATTCAGTCAGTTAAATTACTGAACACAGAAAATAAAGTAAAACATATATTTTTCCAATCAAAACAGACAGAGATGTGGTACCTTGTTGAAAAGGAAACAGTTACATTATTTCTGAGACCACCAAGTTTCAAAAGGAGCTGTTTTGTCCCTCACTATCCTCGCTTCTCCGCCTGGGTTCTCTAGTGTTTGAGTTAGAATAAGTGTTGTGAGCAGAACTGTTCATTTCAACTGCAGCCCTTGTCCTCTTCTTCTTGCTTCGCTTGTTTTTGCAGAAACAGAGGACCCCGGTGACGCAACACCCAACCAGTAGGCCAATGATGGTCAGCACAGCAGCAAGCCATCCTTTGACAGTGCCTGGACAATGTGGGGTGCAAGGTTCTGCTGTACTGCTGCTCATTGTTGGCACTGAGGTTGAGGTTGGTTCCAAATTGGGAAGACTGTTTATGCTTGTGAAGATATAAGGCTGCTCCTGAAACAGGTGAAGGGATTTCATTTAGAGAAAGGTACACTGCCAACAGAAAGTGTCATCTTGCTTCAATTTCTCCATATTTTGTTTTAGACAAAAATTTATGTTTATTAAAGCTGCTTAAATATTATTTTCAAATTGAACTTTTTGGACAAATGAGCCTCATCAAGAGTAATATTCAAATTTACTAAAAATGACTGTAGTAATCTGACACAGAAAACCTCATATTAACACAGCAGAACCCATTTTTAGGCGCAAGTGTTTGCAAGTAGGTGATAGGATTGGGCTTTGAAACGAGGACATTTGCATTCAGGAGTAAGTACTTCACATAAAGGGCACATGCACTTCCTCTACTCCTCAAACCCATTTCTTGTTTTTATTTAGTGTTTTGTAAGTACTCACACATGTGGTTTGAATGACTTTTGTGCATCTGTGGCACCAATCATAGCCTCTTTTGGATTCCTCTATATGCTTGCCACAAATTTGGAGGTGTTTTGTCCCATTATTTCATACAGATCCTCTTAAACTGAACCCATTTGGATGGCCAGCATTATCTGACTGCATTTTTAACTCTCAAGTGTGATGATTAATTGCATTAAAGTCAATCTTGTGACAGAGTCACTTAGGGGCATTCATAAACTGCTTGTGAAGCCCCATGCTTTGTAATTTTGACCTTCAGATTTCAGAATTGTTCATTTTTGTATAATCTCTCTATCTAAATCAGATCCTATGTTGAATGCTATGCCCATGAAAACATAATGCATGATGCTGCCACCTCCATGCTTAATAAAGCACTGCTTTTCATCTCCAGACATGCTGGACATCTCAGAACCTGCTCTAGTTACATTAGACCAAAAGATTCAGCTTCTTTTCAGCTCAAGCAAGTTTTTAGCAAAATTCAACCAGGCTTGTTCGACTGGCATCTGTAAGGCCACCGTACCACTTTTAGTCTTCACAAGAGAACATCAGAGCTCCAGCTAAGTGGGAATTAGAGGCATGATAATTTTCCCTAAAAGCCCCTATTTTCCGGTTACATATCCATTTTTTCATTTTTTTTCCATTTGAACCATCTTGTTGACATTTTTATAAAGATAACTATACATAAATTGGTGACAGAATGACTCGAATGAAGTCAAGCAGTGTGAATACCTACTGACTGTGCTCTACTTAGAGCAGAAAAGCATGTGCAAAAGTGGGTCAACAGTCGCAACACGAAGCAGCTGTCTTACCTCAGTGGGGCACTTGAGGATATTTCTGTCGTTGGTGAAGTTGTTATAGGTCTGTTTTTTACCAACTGGCTCCAGCTAAAGATGAAACAAGAACATGCTTTTGCCCATCTTAGGTGGTAATTTAGCAACACTGCGTTGTAAACCCTGCAGTTAGACTCACCATGTTATTCCACAGAGCTGCTGCCATGTCAGCCTGTCCTCGCTCACTGAAGTGGAAACAGTCCTCGGAGAAGAAGCTAGTGTCAGGCAGGCCATCCTGCAGGGATAAAAAAAAAAAAGGACAGGCTCTCTGAATAGATTCTGTGCTCTACCTTAAAGCTAAATCCTGGTATGTATGGTGAAACGCAATAGAATGTTGTTGCACAGAAGACTTACAGCATTTAATGGAATAACTGAGGTTCTGAAAAAAGGCTGGATAACTGCAGCAAAGTCCTCTCTGCCGTCATAACGACCTCCATACACCACATTTATAGTCTCGGTCTGGCAAAGGTGGATACAAATATTATCACTGACCCATTTAACTCATGTCATGTTCCAGAGAAAACATATAAAGTCCAGAAACCTGCAGCTCGCGATTGATCCATTTCATCTCAGCCAGCTCTGGTGAATCCTCTCCAGGCAACAGGAAGCAAGGGCAGACCTGCCTGTGGGACAAATTAGGAAATTGACAGCTTATTCTGGAAGAGTAACTGCCTTGTTAAATAGTTGAAAGGCCAGGTGTATTTTTTTAATGTCCCTGTTCAATCTTATCTTATTTTCTGTTGAAATGACATAATCTTACACTGAAAAGTAAATGGAAAAATCAAACATCTTATTTGAGTGTGTTCAATTATTTAGGAGATAGTAACTTCTGCAGAATCACAATCAGCATCCAAAGAGGTATCTGACCATTCCTCTCAGCACAATCTGTCTAAATGTTTCAGATGCCTGGGTTCTCTCTTAGGCCCAGTTTCCTCACTGAGCCTAAGAGTTTCCTCACTCACACAGTTTTATAGTTTCACCTAACCATCAGTATTTAATATGATTTAGGTCTAGAGAATAAGATTGGGCAGAACAACTTTTTGTGTTGATGTTTCAAGCCATAAATTTGTTAAAAAAACATCCACTGAAGGCCAACACTGCAAACCCCAGTAAATTAAATGAAATCTAATTGTATATACAAACCAGTTATCTCAAAAGCAATTTGAAGTCAATTAAATTAACTTTTTATGTAAGAAAGTATTATAAAAATGTAATTTTTGTGACCCAGAAAATTTGTAAGTTACTTTATTTTGTCAACTTTACTTTAATATTATTCATTTGTATTCAAGGTATATATTCTTTTTAAGTCCAGGATACTCTAAACCATGGGTCACTGACCTTTTAAGGCTGAGGGCTACTTCATAGCTATTAAGTCATAGCAAGGGCTACCAATGCTGCTCTATGAACTGGAGGGGTCAACATTCACCTAAACTTCATACATAATAAACATATTTTTATTCTTTCTATTCTATTATAATTCCTAACTTTCTTTTAGATGTAATTTTAATATCTCTATAAATGCTTAAATGCTCTATATGATTAACATAATGAAATGCTCAATAAAAGATTAAAAAACAACAATAAAAGAATACAATACAATTTCAAACTTAGTCAATTGGGGATCCATTCTGTTTTTAGAAGACGCTGAGGGAACCCCATGTGGTCCTGGAGGGCCCCTTGGTGCCTGCAGGCATCTCGTTGGTGACCCCTGCTTTAAACAAAGCTTAAAACCAATTGCAAAATAACTAAGGTGATAGAGTCCAGTGCAGCCCGGCTAACTGAAAATACCTACCCATTTTGGCCTAAAATGTCTCCCGAAGTTTGTTTCAGATTAAGCATATAAAGTATTATAATATAATATGTATTATGAATGTCAAAACTCTCACATTCAAGGTTACTGGTGTTCTTTTAATGAGTACTAATGTAATGCATAATGCACCATGTGACCAGCAGATTTGACAAACACTGTTGCCTATTGCTGAACAGACCCCATTGATTGTATCAATAACCTTACTTATGGTGTTGCAGCATTAGCCACACCTTTTGCCAAATAGTCAGGCAATAAGATCTAATTCTCACATTGATCTGATTGTCCTACCACTTTCAAATACTTAACTTTGTTTCCTGAACGCACCTTAAATATATTTATTTATGAAGGATATTTTGTCCAGTAGTTCACTCGTTTCATTTAAGATTTTTTTAAAACCTTTTTTATTATCATTACATTGTAACAAGTACTGAGCAATGAAATTTACTCTGTGCATTTAATCCATCCCCTTGGGGAGCAGTGGGCTGCCATTGAGCGGCGCCTGGGGAGTGTGGGGTTAAGGGTTTTGCTCAGGGAGGCAGAGTGGCAGTCTGTGGGAGTTGGGCTAGAACTCAGAACCTCTGAATTCCAAGCGCAATGCTATAACCAGTAGGCCCCACAATGAGTATAAACAACAAGTTGATGAGAAAAGAGTTCTGTTCGCCTAAAATAATTTGGTAATTGTTAGGTTTTACAATCTGTTAAAACCTGTTAGATTTGTATTTATAAAACAATCATTTGGCACTTTAAATATTTTCTAATGCCATGTTTTCTAACACGAAATCTGGTTCTTTTGGAGGAAAAACAGCACAACAGATCCTCCACCATACCAAACAGCGGGCATTCCCTGTTTAAGATTTATTGTGTTTACATTGGTTAAGTTAGGGCGTCCATCTCAAATGTATAACTTTAAAATAACTGGTTGGCATTAGGTTGGCAAAGAGTGTTATCCAGAATACCTGCACTGTAGATATGTAACTCATTGCCTGAAATAACATGTTTTACATAACTCTATTGTAACATCAATAATTTTATAATATGTTTTCCAAGAAATTAAACAAAGTGGTTTTCTATTGTTTCTGGTGATTAAAACAAAATTATTCCCAGCATTTACTTGTTAGGAGCTTATGAACTTTTTCTTTCTCTGAATAATAAAGAAGTGATCAGACCAAATATTGTTGCATACTTTTGCACCAGGCTGCATCCAATACTATCCTTATTGATTTTGCGAAGGTCTGAAACCTCCAGGATTTCTACGACGTTGACGATAGTTCTGGGAACCTAAAAAAAAACACAAAGAAAAAATAATCTCATTAGCTTTTATCCTTTTAACGTTCAGTGCTGATTTTAAAGAAAAGTAAAAATGAATAATAATTGTAATCTCACCTCATTGTACAGAATATCCAAGCTTGTCCTCAAGTAATTGCCGTAGTTTGTATGTGAAAGCGCAGCCTGTGGTGTTTGAGGCAAAAATAATAAAATAAGCAAAGTTTTTTTTAACAGTGCATGGATGGCTCCCTGGTTGCAGTTCAACACTACCACAGCTAATGGGTTTGTGGCCTGTTCTTTATTTATTAAGTTAGAAGAGGCATTCAACCATAAGACTACACACATAACTGCTTCCACCATGCTGGAACTACCCCAGGGTAAGTCCTCATCTTAAATTAGGATACTTTCTAATATCCTGTTTTAAAATAGATACTTTAAAAGAAAGACTGCTTAGTCTATAAAGCCTAAGATGAGTCAGACAAGATGAAGAAAGTCTTTTGAGTTGTTTATCCCACTTCAGGAACAAGGCCTGTCTCTATCCCTCCCCTCTGTGCTTCTTCAATGCAGACAGAGGCTGGGATAGATGTGGGAGACGGGAGGTCTGTGTTGGAGGGGTAAGGTAACAGAATGTGCTCATTGAAAAGAAAGCATGTCTGCTCTCATCTCACTCTGACACAATACGGCTATTAGAGGAGAGCCCTTCACAAAGCCTCATTGTGCTCAGGAGCTTAGATCCATTTGAGGAGTGATATCATGAGGCAGCTCCACACAACCCCCAGGGAGTTTAATCAGAGATCCAATGCATTGCAGGGGAAGGGCTCACCCGGTCGTTGCAGTACTGACAAAGGTCGTTGCCTCCGATGAAGAGGGTCACAAGCTTCCAGTCATTCTGAAAATCCACGGTCTAACTCCAGCCAATAAAAGATTCAGAGTAGCAGACAGATGGTGCAAAGATTAGAATGAAATATTATGAACTGCAACAAATCTGAGCAACAGAACAAATCAGAAATAAACTCACCGCAGAATTTTTCATGGCATCAACCAGGCTTCTGACCTGCCCTGGAATCCCTCTGCACACAATCATCAAGGTATCAGCATGCTACTTCTATGAGGTCATAAATTCATTCATTTTAATCAGTATATAATGTTCCTGGGAAATGTTTCAGCTTACCCTGCTTTAGCCCCAGATATGGCCATATTGAAGCCAATATTGTCTTTCCCAGTCCCCGTTGAAAACCCTTTGATACCAGGATTGAACTTCTTGAGGATATCTAATGTAGAAAGTTACAAATATGTTTTACAACATTGCAGAGAAATTGCCTGGGCTAGGTCTGACCTCTAGTGTTGCTAGTTTGCAGTTACATAACATAGGGGGGAAAGCGAGGCTTACTGGGCAGTGTGGTGACAGTCTCCAGAGTGTCATCCCCTCCAATACTAATTAACAGAGACATTAAATGAATAAAATGCTTGCAGAGGTACAGGGATTTGCTTAGAGCTTTCTTATAATGTGTCTCACCTCCATGACACACCCCTGTATTCTATAGGCAGCTCCAGCAGGTTTGTCGCCCTTGCACCAAAAGCAGCCTGTAGGGGAAGATAAAAGCTAGTGTCTGTAGTCCATCTTCAGATACAGTACATTTTCCAGGTTTTTTTTTTCTAGGTTTTATGTTGAAAGATTTTTACTGTGACATGGAAGGAAACAAACACAATAAAGGAAACTAATCTTTTCACATCAATTCAAGCCTTGCCACAGATTCTAAGTCAGATCTGTACTTTGACTGGACCATTTTAACCAATCAGCAGGCTTGATCTTAATTCCCATTATCAGATATGAAGTGCAATAGTTTTGAACTTAACAGAAAACCTTCTTTATAATCTTCGTGGTCCCAATTGAGTCATGGTAAACAATAGATGTGGACCCCCCATGGCTTATTGTTCTTTCATAAAGGCCAGATTTGTAGCCCTGAACTTGATTAATTGTGACGTTTTCTCTTAAAAACCATGGCAACCATGGGAATTCATGAAAATCTACTCAGATATGCCACTAGTGTACAATTACCAATTTGACAATTTTGGAAATAAATCAACATAGGAAAAAATCACTGATCTGTTAATCTAGTTTTACGATTAGATTTTTTTAATCTTCTTGTCTGTAAATATAAATCTAACTACATTAAATGTATCTTTATTTTTATCTTATTTTTTTATAAGATCTGCAAAACTTTAGATGCAAACTGCAGACTTTTCCAAAATTTTGCAAGACAGAGTAGAAGATATATTTTGGGTACTTTGCTCATGATCCAAAAATAGATTTTAAACCCTGCAAGTCGCTCAGAACAATAATGCGACACCATTTCAGAAATGGTGTGGAAAACTTTAGAAAGTAGACCTAAAAGTAAAACAAAATTTCCTTTACTAAAAGAAGAGGAGTTGCTAGGCTTTCTTCTGACTAGATTCCAGATTTCATGCACTAAATCAGACCTTCCAACCAGCATTTACTTACTGTTAGAGAGTCTCCAAGAGCCCCGACCACCTTAATGTCTGCTGGACGTACTCTGTGAGCTAATAAAAGCCAAAATGAGTACTTCTTTATGTCCCAAATGTCTCAAACCCAATAATCAAATTCATTGTCACCAGGATGCTTACCTGAGGTGGGCACAGAGTTTGATGGACTCATAGGAGTACAGGAGAAGTCCTTGCCCCAGTTCTAAAATGTGACAAAGGAATTTTTTGCATGATGCTTACAAAATGAATACTTGGCAGATTAAAATTAAGGAAATGAGACTTACAGTGATGTTTGGAGCTACTGCTGGAGGACCTGGAAAGGTGTAGTTGCTGTTGGCTGCTGTTCGAATAAATGGGATACTCTAGGGGGGAAAGAACCAAAATAAGCCTGAATCCTTTGCAAATCTTTGGAACAATAGATACGATAGAGTTTCTGAAAAGGACTTACCTCTGATGGACAATTCAGGTTAATATCACCTTGGAAGTCTTGTGTGTGGGTCTTATTGCCGACTGGCTCGAACTAAGATGTGAAAACCAAAGCTTTGTTTTAGATTAAAAAGGAAATAAAAAGAGAAACATGTGATGCACCACAGAGCAAACTCTACCATGTTGTTCCAAAGCGACCGAGCCATGAGGGTGTGAGATTTCTGGCTGAGGTGAAAACAATCAGGTGCGAAATAAGAGCGATCAGGCCGACCATCCTGATATGAAAGGCGAAAATGATTAGTTAAAAAGTGAAAATTAAAAATAAAAGAAAATCTGTGAAGAAAAAGCCTTTCCACACACAGATAGCCTCATTGCTCACCTCTAACCTGGGAACAATAACCTCTCTAAAGAAGGGCTGCAGTATCACGCTGAAGTTGTCATGTTTGTCATACCGTCCAGAGTCAATCAGCTCTCTCATATGATGCTGCAGAAGAGAAAAAGGTATAGGAGTAGTAGCAGACACAGATTTCTGTTGCTTCCTTGTAATACATATCACAATATTTATTCAATTAAACACACACATTTCTAAAATAGTACATGTTTCACTACAAGCTTAAAGAACAAACCAAAATAAAAATATTATTTATGGCCAATACTATTTTCTAAAAAAAAAATCTCAGTATTTTCCAGGTCTTAACCTGACCAAATGGAAAACTAGTGAATTCTCCTGTGCATTTTGGAATATTATGTTGAACATATTGGTTAAAAAATGCAACTTTAAAAGAGAATTATTCAGAATAATGCAAAACTAAGGAGAATTAGGATTTAAAAACAAATCTAACTTCACACTTTTATGAAAAAAATATTAAAAAAGGTAATTATCTTTTAAAAAACCAGTTAAGCAATTTCCACCAAGATCTAATTTAAAATTTTAAAATCATATAGAGATTTGAACTGAAAGGATAACAGATATTTATAGCTTTCCAAGTAAACAAGCCAGTCGTTGTTTGGAGAAACGTTTGATGGAAAAATAAGATTAATAACGATTAATCTGCTTGACCACAGTGACAAAAGTTTAGAGTGACAAAAGCATGGAATTAGTAGCAGCACAGTCTGTTTCATAGCTGATAAAAGCTCTGCTATTACTAAGTGGAGGAATAGTTACACACCCATTAGGGCCTGTATGCATTAAATACAGGTAATTCCTGCTATCAATTTAAAAGCCTTCTAATTTGTTAATTTTCTTCCAAGTCAAAGAGAAGTATATTACTTCCAAAACACAAAGTAAAATTTGGATTAAATCTGATACCAAGGATGAAAAAAATCTTCAACAACATATTCAACTTTACCTGATAAGCTCTGTTGAAATCACTGAGCTTCTGCAGCTCTTGTGATCCATCAAGGGGCTTCAGCACACAGGGGCAAATTATACTAAAAGAAAATCAGCATTAGGACTGTTAATAGCAACAAGGCAGAGTTTTGTTTTTTTTTTTTTTTTATCTTAACTATTTGTATTGCTGAGAAAAAAATCACTAACTTGACCATCCAGGTGGGACAACCCAAAGATGTGTCCTGGTGCAATTCCCGCAGGGGTATGATATTAAACATCTCCACCATATTAACAATTGCACGAGGCACCTGAAAGATAAATAAGTAGACTTTAGTCATTCATATTTAATATATATATATATATACATTAAAACTGCTTTTATTATAATGATGCAATATGACATGAACGTACTTCTGCGTGGAGTATGTCCAGTGCCTCCTTAATACGGAGAACCACATTTCTAGCTGAAAAAAGGACCTGTAGGGACAATTGTAATTATTTGATGTATTTGATAGGACACATGTAGTTAAATATTAGTTCGCTTCCACTGAGATGGGATGTTTTTTTCACCTAGTTTTAAAATTGTAAGATAATCAGAATCAGAATCATTTTATCAATCCCTGGAGGGAAATTATTTTCTTGCAGTGCAACCGTTTACAGAAGAGAGAGAACAAAATTGTAAGTACAAGTAAGATATAAGAATAAAATAAGATAAATAAGGATCACAGTATACACAATCGAAAATTAAATGACTGCCAGAGAGATGAATTATACAGTTTGATGGCCACAGGCAGGAATGACTTCCTGCTGCGCTCTGTGGTGCAGCGTGATGAAATGAGCCTGACTGAAGGTGCTTCTGGGATAACTATACATTATAATGTTAAATAATTGAGGTAAACCATATGTCAACCATTCAAAATAAATGTATTTATTTAAGCATGCTTCAACTTGAACATTTAGATATGATTCCAAAAAATTGTGTAACTTTTAAAATGTGTGGGAAGGAAGAACTTACACTGTCTGTGCAGTAGGCACATATATCATTGCCCCCAATAAACATGGTGATCACTTTCCAGTCATTGTTGAAATCAATACGCTGAAAAAAATGGATAAATGCTCTAATGTTAATGGTAAACAATATGAGGCATAGAAATGTGATATTATATTGCATTTATAACGTGTAATTTACCGAGTCATTTTTCATTTTGGCCACTAGAGTGCGCACTTGCGGTACCATGTCACTATAAGAGAAGACAACTATTAGTAAGCCAGTGATATTACCACACACTTCTTCTTAATGTGGAAATGAAAAGGTTTTTAAGCTTTGGGATGGATGGCGGTGAACTTACACACTCTGTGCTCCTGCTACGGCTTGATTTAGAAAGGCTCCTGAACTGTCCTGGTTCCCGATGCCCGTTGAGAATCCAGTCACCTTTGGGTTAAACTCCTTCAGGATGTCTACAAAAAATCATTGGGCAGTATAAAATAAAGAAAAATATATATCTATACTATACTGCTGTAAATAGCTTTAGATAGATACAGCTTATTCACAGTTTTTATATGAACTGTGATTTCATCGGCATTTTGAACATCTGTAATATTCCTGCAAATGTTATGTTCATTTTATAAGAATATACATATATATATATATATATATTCCTGCAAATGTTATGTTCATTTTATAAGAATATACATATATATATATTTGTTGATGATGATGATTTCTTCTTCGTTTGGTTTGTTGAAGCAATATGCATGGATTTGCAAATTATTTAAACTATTTAAGGTTCATGAACATGTACCGACACCCTAATAAAGATGTTATCAGAACCTTAAAATGAATCCATGTTAATCCTTGACCAAACTCTCAGTAAGTATTTTAGAAACATGCCTACTGTCTAGTTGAATTTTGCTTCTCTGTCACATCAGATATCTTCTTATCTTTATTGCACAACCCAAAGGATTGTAGAAAACATGTTAAAAATATGTTTCATATTTACATTGAGTGTATATTTGAAACAAATTTGAATAAACATTTAAAAGTTTTTATCAAATTATGTTTTACTATAGTTTCCATAATGTTTCCACAATTTTAGTTTTTGGCAATTAGTATAACGGAAAACCTTGAGAATATATCTGCTGTAGTATGTCTTGGTGAAAATATGTACTGGCTAATACTTAGGTATTATCCAAAATACCTACCATGACAAAACCATCTAATGTAATATTGCCAAATATTCATAGAATCAATCAATTCTTTTTCTACAAGAAAAAGAAAGCTAAATATTTACTTTTATTCATTTGAATTTGAGGCCTTTGGGTTCTTTTGCAATTAAGAGCCAAGTGAACTGCAGTTATACAGCAGCAGATAATGAGGTTTAAACTAGACCGGGTTGCATTATATAATGTGGCATGTTTGATATTAATTGAAGTGACGCATTATGAAATATTAATTCATTAACTACAATCCAGCTTGTTATCAGCACAAAGTTCAAAGGCAAACACCTGCAATGTTATCAAATTACATCACTGCACTGGCCATTGATGTGTGAGCCGTGGCCATCCATCAAGCCATTATAAACGTCAGAGAGTATAAAAAGGAACATACAATTCTGAGTTGAGTTCTGTTTACGGTTTTATTAGGAAAAATTTGCCTCCTCAGAGATTGTTTTGTCTGGTTTTACCTTCTATGTCTTAAAAGGTTGAGATAATCAAACATATTTTACTGTCAAACAAAAATGAATATTCATACATTTGATACAACTAAGAAAGAATTTTATTTTAAGAGGATCATACTGACAGTTAAACATGGTGGTGGTAGTATGATGGATTGGGTTTGGTTTACTGCTTTAGGACTTGGACTACCATTTGGCTGATGGGAGCATAAAATATCAGGCCATATAAGAATATATTTATTAAAAGTAGACAAAAAGAGCCACTTCATAAACTAAAGCACATAAATATTTGAACTTCCTAATGGCTCTGGGGGGTGGAAATCTATTATTTTCTTGGTATTCTCCTAATAAAGACTATTCATGTATAAAAACGCTGCTGCAAATGTTTAATGCCAGTTTTTCTTGCTCAGCATGGCTGTACTAGTTATTATGTTTAATCAGGCAATCATTCTTTCACATCAGCCTGTATAATGTTCACCTTGATCAATCAAATCTAATCGTCAATTGAAAACTATGTTTTATCATTTTCTTCAGTTATCTTTGTCTGAAACTTGTAAAGGCATAAAAAGTTTTTCAATGCGGTGTATTTATGACAATATCAGATTTTTATTTGTTGTCTGACGTGAAAGGCGGCTCTATGAGGAAGAGAGTGCACCACATCAAGTGTTGAAACCTCATTGAGTAACCCTTATACCTAATAATCATTTCAATATAAAACATAGCAAACAAACATACTTGGTAGAGTTGTCACAGTGGTAATGTTTCCATCTCCACCAATGCTGAAAATTGCAAAAGAAGACATCCTTAGTTTATTAAATAATATATATATATATTCAATTCAATTTATTTATATAGCGCCAATTCACAACACATGTCATCTCAAGGCACTTAGATCAGGTGAACTGTCAGTCAAATTGATTCAAAGTTTTCTATCTAAGGAAAACAAGTTGATTGCATCGACTCATTGACTCAAATGCAATCCCTCACACTAAGCATGCTTTTAGCGACAGTGGAGGGGAAAAACTCCCTTTTAACAGGAAGAAACCTACAGCAGAAGCAGGCTCAGTGTGAGCAGCCATCTGGCAAGGCCGACTGGGGTTAAATATATATATATATATATATATATATATATATATTGATAAGATTTATAAAACTAAAAACTATATAAAACAAGCAAACAATCAACTCACCTCCATGACAGTCCTCTATATTGATAAGTCACCAATAATAGGTTGTCCTCTTTAGCACCGGCACCATTGGCTGCCTGCAAAAAAGTCCATTATTTTCATGTGTTATCCTGGAATATGTAAATCATATTTCAGTATTAGTGTAAAAAAAAACACTGGAATGATAGTGATAATATTGATAATTATTGATGTCGATTGATGTCAATTACTAATCTCAATTAGCCGTTTACACAAAGAGCAGAGAAAATCTAACCTAGTGCTAAATTTATCATACAGGGAATGAGCTGGACATCTCATTTAAACAGCTAATATAGCTAATCTAGTTACTGATATAAGAAAGGGCAACATAACTTACAGTCAGAGAGTCGCCCACAGCAGCGACCACCTTGATATCCCCTGGTTTGACTTTATGAACTGCTCAGAAAAGTAACAGCTCAGTTTAGGTAACCTAAATTTAACCATTTACCAGATTTTATACTTGGGAAAATAAATCCTTTACCTGATGAGGGTGTGACAGGAGATGGAGTACGATCTTTGCAAAGCACTTCAGTACCCGTTACCTGAAAGTGAATAATAACCCTCATTATTCTTAATCAGACACTGTTTCTCTATAATCTGGTTTGTTTCTTTTAAAATAGCACTTACAGGATCTATAGGTGCAGAGGCTTTACTGACAACCTCCTCCTCTTTTCCAATGGGGGAGTTTATGGATGTTCGGAGGAAAGGCCTTTCCTGGGGAAATGTAAACGTTTTCAAGTTTAATCATATAAATTAGAAGAGGAGAGGTCATATGAGAAGTCGAGATTTTTTTATTTCTTTAACTGGATGCAGAGGTATATCTCACCTCAGTCGGACAGGGAACATTGATGAGATTGTTTTTCATTTTAGTCTGGTCTGTTGACGGCTGGAGCTGATGGAGGAAATCTATGGTTAATTGATATTTGGGGGTCATCCTTTTCAGTAATGTTTAATGGAGATGATTGCACACATTTCCTATTTCCTCATACTCCAGATTTATAGGAGTGTGAGAAAATAAGCCAGAGTTTAACAAGGTTAATCTTAAAATCTCATATCTAATCAGTCTGATAAACAGATTAGTCGATCTCCTTTAGATTATAGTGCTTGTGTCCCGTTATCTACAGCACGTTTTTTTTGTTGTGTACCAGACATTAGTGCACGCCGTGTTCTTTAAAGTGCGCATGTCTATAGTTCATTTATGGGAACTTACCATATCAGTCCACAGCTGCAAAGCCAATTCATCGAGATGGGAGTCTAAGATTTCCTTCAAAGGATCATACCCAGGGTATAGGTTACACATTAGCCAATAGTGAGCATACAATGTCACAGGAAATGCATTATTTCGGAAATCCACTTGTTGGTTATAACAGTTTTTATTAGTTACTATTTACTTACAGAATATGGGTAGGATTCAAGAACAACTGGAGAAGACTGCAGGACAACTGTGAAGTCTTCACCTCTGCTGTACCGTGAAGGATTTTTCAAAAGATCACCTACAGAGTCCTGAAAGCAAAAATTAAATATGCTGCTATTAAAATAGCTCTGACACATGGGTGGGAACATCCTGATCAGTGTTGTACCTGTAGTGCTTTCAGCAGGAATGCTTTATGTAGTCCTGGGTTTATACCTGGTTTTGCACATGAACAACTGCTGCAAAACAAAAAAATGCAAACATTTAACTTAATTAGACCTTTATGGTTTAAAGGTTTAAAATATTTTATTAAAGTCTTCACACTCCTTGAACCTTTTCATATTTTATCAGATTATTAATTGCACTTTTATAGGATTTGACAAAACACTGAAATACGTGTCCTTTCTTTTTATAACGGCAATGCAAAATATCCTTACATTTTTTTATTCTTATATATTTTTTTAGCTAATTTCCCAACATTTGGGTTTCCATGAGAAAAGACTGGCCATGCTATCATCCTGCTGGAAAACTTTAACGGGTTTTCCTTAAAGAATTAAACACAGGTTGCTCCATCCATCTTCTCCTCAGCTCTTATCAGTTTTCCTCCTCCTGAAGAAAAGCAGCCCTTCAATGCAGCAACCACCATTTATCACAAGATTGTATAATCAGTGCGTAACGCAGTGTTAGTTTTCTGTTGCCATATGTGTTCTAAATGTTGAACAAGATTATATATTGCTGTCATTTTTTATGCTGATTAGTTTGGGTTTATTTCAGTTCCTTTTCACAGACGTATACATTTTATGAGGTGCTGCATTGCACCTAGATTGTGCCTCCGTATGAATCAGGGAGGATTGATCACTTTTATCCTTGATTTTTAATCACTTACTCATCTTTCTGATGGTGTCCACTCCAGACCACCACGTGAACTAAAGTGCGATGCATCTGGGAAAACATTAACAGGTTAAAAATATTACAGCAAGTGTTTCTGACTTTCTCAATGTTTCATTCACTGTTGACAGAGTAATCTGATCAATATCACACCTGATTCTGCAGCCTGTTCAGAGCTGTGTCCACCTCCTGAACTGTGGTTTTAACTTTTGCATCAACCTGTTATGCAAAGAACCAAAAACATCATTCAGGAAGACATTTTTAAGGGTTTAAAATGTATATTTTAAGATTTGAAACAAGAAAACTCACATCTGGTGAACAGGCACATCTTAAATCCGCAGGGACAAACAACAGCACTAACTGCCAGTCTGTCACTTCCTAAAACAATAAAGTCAAATGAGTTTGATTGAAAACAAACAAATAACATTTTTAAAACTTTTCAAAATGGGCATGAATAGACTAATAATACCTGATTGGAGGAGGAAAGGTCATCAACCTCTTGTATTGAAGTCCTGCAACACATTACCTCCACTCATGAGGAATAATGCTATTGTTTCCACTGAAGCATTTATAATGTTAGATTTATTTGTATTACCTCTGATTAAATGAGGTCTGAGCCTCATGCTGAGTGACCACATTGGGATTAAACATGGATAACAGCTCTGTGCAAACATAGAGCCCACATTAAATGACATAATGCTATGACACAGCAAATTTATACAATTTTGTGAAACAGGGAAGCTTCGATCCCTGTAATCATGTTGTGCTCATTGTTAGGTGTCCTGAAGGTCAGTGTTCTGTGTTTATGGCCTGCTATCAGAGCTTACAGATAAGTTTAATTCACTGCATGGCTATTGATGCGATAACTTTCTCTTCAAAGTGCATCCTAATCAGACTATTGCTGAGATACTATCTGCACTTGATATGAGCTTTCTGCCGGCCTTGAATAAATACTTTCTAATACATAATCCAACGAGTGTTTAGGTGAAGAGTCTTCTTTTGATTTATATCCTCACTGAAGAAAATAATTCATGCATCTTTTGCATCTACTTAAGCATATTTAGTCACTTTTAAAAAGTTGCTTTATATCCTACCCTGCTAATGTAAATCCAGTCCAGAGAAGGAGGCAAATTTAAGGGCTAAAAAGAAATAAAATTACCTTGAAATGCAAAAAAAAAAAAATTAAAACAAACAAACCAACTGGAGGCTTGGTTCTTGTATCTGAAGATTTTTCATTCTTTGGCCAAACTGCATCTTTACTTTAGAGCTTGTAAGAAAGAAGTTCCGAAAAGCGTTTGGGAAAAAGTATTTTTCAAATGTGCAGAGTGGCTCTTCCAAAGACCTAGGAAGCATCTAAAACTACTAGAAATGAAGCCTAGTGTTTGTGCGTTTTTTTGTACTCTTTTTTCTGATATGATATGACCTGGATTTACAAGAACCTTTTACCTGGAATGGACCCTAAAACCAATGGTCACCAATGAAAGTGATTGGAGTCAGACTTCCAAACACCAGCCCTCTGACAAGCTACTAAAATCGTCACCTCAGTCTCTTTTATTTTAAATATCTAAATATCTAAATATCTAAGTTATCCATACCTTCAAATTATTAAAACAATTGTCCAACAGAGTTTGACAAACACCTGCCTAAAGACGGAAGGAGACAGAGTGCTTTCAAAGAATGGATCCATATGGGAGCAGATAACAAAATGGGCAGGTTAAAAACCAAACAATAAGGACCTCCTAATGGAAAAGATAAAAAACTCCCTGGCTTAAAGATGCATTTAAAAAGTTTAAAATAATCTTACCTCTCAGCCTACTAACAACTCTGGAGGCTTCATTCCTGATAATAAAAAAAAGCAAGTTATTTCGCACTAAAAAATATATTCATGATTCCTTAAAAAGAAGTAAGCATATCAATGAGGAGATTCCTGAAAACTATGGTTTTACAATACAACTAAAAAAGAATTTCAAAACGTGCTCTGGTTGGCGTCACGTATGACAATTAATCACAGTCTTTATTTTTAAGTCATGTTATCTTTTGAAAAATATTAATTTAATAAACAAACTGAGGCACGAAAAAAGAATAAAAAAGTCCTACATTTAGAAAGGTTTTTCAAGATGCAAACTGTGAGAACATTATACCTTTTTGTCATTTTGCTCATTAAAAATAAAAGATGAAGTTTTCTGCTTAATTAGCTGAACTATCCAACTGAGTTTCTAACCTGCAGTCGACTGCTTAACAAACATGCTGCTTGCCAATAGAAGGTTTGAAACATTATAGACATAATGGACGGTATAAACAGCAAAATTTGTCTTTAATGTGTGTCGGAAACCAGTGTGCAGCTATTTTATTCAGCTCTGACCAGAAGTGCACAGCAACTTAAACCTCTCATTTAAGGCAAACAGACATACTATTGCTGGTAATTTGCTGTATATGTCACTGTGGTGTGCCGTCATATACCAGATTCATGTAGCTACTTTCAATCAGTCACTGATTCATGATAAAAAGCAGAAAAAAGAGAGAAAATCACATTTTTGGCTGCTTCAAGCTTGTATGTGTGTTATGTAGGTTTTGTACCTTTCGGACAGAGGCATCCCGACAGTGTGAAGCACTGCGATGTCAGCTGGTGTAAGAGCATGAACTGATGATGGGGGAAAAATGTCAGAAATGTCACAACCTTTTCATTAGGCCAATACAAATTCCTAAAGTGTTGAATCTCTTCAATAGGCTTAATAATGATAGGGGTGTATTACCTGACTGGGATGAGGACCGGGGAGAAGGTATTGCTCTGCAAATGGCTGGCATGAAAGTTTCTGTCTGCAGTACAAAAAAAAAAAACAATACAAGATGCACAGTATTTGAGCAATATATTGGTTATGCAGTACATTTACAGATAAATCAAAACATGACTCATATACTGGAAGAGAAATGTTACTATACCTCTTCTGATTCATGTGTCAGAGGTCCATTTCTTTGCAAATCAGGACCAGCAATAACTACATGTGACAAGGGGCAAAGATTATTACTTTATTGGGAGAAAACCACAGTTAAAACAGTTAACCTACATGTCATCAATAAACAAAGATGACATTAAATCCTGGTGTAGTTTTGCAATGACACTCTTTATAAACTTGGCTTTTCTTAACTGCAGGCTAAAGTCCTTAGACTTTAGAAAAATGCTGTAAACCATTTGATACGATACAATAATGGTAAAAGCTTAAACAGATCAAAATAAATAACAAAACAGCAAAAATTGTGGATGTTAGTGTGAAATCAACACTCTCTAGGTACATCAGCAAAACAAGTAAAGATTCCCGCTAAAAGAGCTTGTAAAGAGCAACATGGCTATTCAGTTGCCAGATCTCTCTGATGTCTTCACATACCTGTGAATTGCAATTAATGTTCTAGACTATTATGAAGAAATGAAGGACTTCACCTGTGAATGTGTGGCAGAATCCAAGGGCTGCCAGGATCATGAGGGCAGCTCCAGTCATGATGCAGAGAGATGTGATTGACACTAAAATCTGTTGGTTTGTGCTGCTCTTTCCTCCTGCACAACTTCAGAGGAAAAATGACTGGGAGCTTTCACTTGCTGTAAAAGTACTCTCCACCTGTGGAGGGGGTGGAGCGGGCAAAAGCCCTAAACAGGGCGAGGTTTTTAACAACAAGGAAGAAAAAGATCGGAAATAAAACTGGATATTTTGGAAGCTTGAATAGATATTATAGTGCAGTTACAATTATTTCAGTAATGCTGATTCCTACATTTACTACTATAAACACAAGCTGGCTTCAAACCTTTTAAGAGAGATAAAACTTTGGTGGGCCATTCATTGTTTTAAGTGGCAGGATACCTTTAAGTCTTTCATAACGCAACTTTTGATCAGCTTATTAGGGTTTTTTCTTTGATAGAGAGCTTTACAAAATTAAGGAGTGTGAACTAAAAGGAACTGGATAAAGGGTTTTTTAAGAGAGCTAAATAAATATCTGAGAGGTGTGATATGCATTTGCATTCAACCTCCTTTTTCTGACACCTCTGAATGAAATATTTTGCAGCCATGTACCTGCAGAAGTCATCTAATTAGTTAATAGAATACACCTTTCCATCTATCTTTCACAATCTCTAGCCAAATTATAATAAATGTAAACTGAGCATGAGCAAGACATTATGAAAGATACTGTGTGGGAGAGTTTCTCCCTGAGTATAGTATGAAAAAACACATGGTGTCAGAATAATGGTGTTGGGAAGCTCTTCTCACCAGTAATGGTGAGACTGAAAAAAAAAGGTTTGGAGGCTTGACCTAAGCCAACAAACCAAAGCTGTTTATTTTTTTTTAAAGGAAAACTCTGCCCTGTTTTTGCAGCATACCAATACTACACACAGAATTCCCCATAAACATGGAGATTTCATGCATTCCTTTGTGCCTGTACTTATGGAACGGATACTTTCAGGTAATTATGTAAGTTAAGCTGATGCTGCATCTATTGCACATTGGTTTTACAGTCATATAAATCCAACTGGGGTTTATTTTTGGAAATGTTTGGAGATGTGATTAGATTACAATAATCTTTAGGAGAGTTGTGCTTAGATGGACTTAAGATAATCAGTCTAGTGCAATCAATTTCACAGGAACCAAGATTGTTGTATAATAATGTCTTGCATCAAAAAAACAATATCAATTCCAAGTCTTCTCCTATTTCCCATAAATGATTGTTTCCAACTTGCCAAAATGGTGACAAAACACAACTCAGATTTTTTTATTATGACTTAATTTCTTTGCATGAATTGTGCAGAGAAAGAAAATGATATATATTTTCCTACTATTATCTGTAAAAACAAAACAAACTCTCTTCTTTTTCATTATCCATATAATCATACATAATCTGGGGGATCTCAATATTTATAATTTGATGTATTTTCTTGACTCATGAAAAGAGAATTGAAACATAATGAAGTTGAGGTTAAAATTAGCTTATATATTAAACAATTGTATTATAGTTATTTAAAATATTTACACAGATGGTTAAAAAAGGGGAAATGTGGGAATATGGATATTCATTCAAGAGTTTAATATATGTATATGTAACAGATTAACAGACCTTTTATCTATATACACAGCAGAAATGGTAACAATTATTTTCAGTTTACAGTGGGTGGAGGAGGTTAGACAGGACAGGGTGGTGATTTGCACAGATTCTAAAGCTGCAATAGAAAGCATTCATTCAGGAGGAAATAATAGGAAAGACCTTGTTTAAGAAATTCATCAGAGTTTGTTTAGGTTTTTCAGGTATGGAATAGATGTTCAGTTCTTATGGGTTCCAGCACACGAAGGGGTAAGAGGAAATAATAATAGCAGACAAGTTAGCTAAAAAGGCTTTAGGAAAGCAGAATATAGATCAGATTCCATTTGGGGAAAGGAAAGGTAAATCAATAATTAAAAAGAAAGAAACAGAATTATGGCAAAAAATATGGGATCAAGATGAGAAAGGGAGAAGATTATATAGGGTTCAAAAATCTGTAATTGTTAAAAATTATGGAGAAAGAAGCAAAAGGGAAGATATAATTTATACTAGATTAAGAACTGGACATACCTACTTGAGTGAGTTTTTGTTTGTACTAGGGAAGAGAAATAATGATTTATGTGAGAAAAGAAAATGTGGATCATGTTTTGATGGATTGCATTAAATATGCCACTGAAAGAAAGAGGATGAGCAAAGCAATTATGGAAAAAGGAAGAGAATGGAGTATTAAAGGAATTTTAGGGACAGGTGGAGATAGGGAGGAACATTTTGTTATTAATAAAGCATTGTTTTTATTTTTACATAACACACATAAAAAATAAATAGAATATAGTAGGTGGAATTCTATAGCTACACACTAATGTACAGTAGTAGGTGGCGGTATGCACCTATAAGCTGTTTGCAATCCGCCAATCTAACAAAGAAGAAAAAGACGACGAAGAAGAAGAATTTCATTTTCTTGGGGTCGTTTTGTGTTTTTTGCGACACCTACAGGCGGACTGGAGTAACAACAGGCTGCAGTAACCGGATGTTGACACTGGCTGAAAGCGGAACGAAGACAGGAACAGCTGAAAAAGAAAAACAAAGCCACGACGACGACGGCAGAACCAAAATACACACAAACTACGGTTTTAAATATTGGTGACATCGTCGAAGGACGAGTAATACCGTGTAGTTGAAACCAGATTGGAAAAGGTAAGAAGACTTGATGTTAATTAATGCATTTTTTTTTATAACTACTTGAGCTCCTAGCTTGTTGTCTCTGTTAGCTTAGCGGTTAGCCTTGTGTTTGTTTTCACTGATTTCCTCTCCCCACTTTTTTTTTTTTTTTAACCTTTGAGTTACATGGGGTCCATGCTAACTGAAAAACCAGTAATGTTAACAGTTCGAAAACATTTTTCGTAAAGCTGCGGTCATTAAAAAGGCTTAATTTAATTTCGAATAAGAGTGCTGACTGTCGAGTTTGGAGTTGGGAGTGCTTTGTGAGATGATGAAACGGTGAGTAAATGCTAAGACTCATAATCTGACAGTCTTCTTTGTTGGTTTCCACTGAAATTAAAAACCTGAATCAAAAATAATACCCTGAAAATGTAATTGATCGCCTTTTTATTTCTATGAAGGATCCATCTTTATTGTGAATAATCTGAAAATTTGAGTTTTGACAGCAAAACTGGCATTAAAAAAATCTAATCAAAGGGGAGGTGGTAATAATAACATGTGAGGTAGCATCCTCAGCATCTATGCATTATTTATAAAGGAGAATCCAGTAAATTGTCAGGGAAGAGAAGACAAAAAGCTTTTCTCTTATGGCATATTTGCATTGAATTTTCTGCATGAATGACCATAAAAGTACCTGTTATTAATCAATTTATTTTTAGATCATCATGAGGCAAAATAAACAGGGTTTATTTTACAAACGTCTTCTTATAAAAGGACATATAACCATCCTCTTTTTGTAAAAGTTTTTCAAGTCAGAGCTACAACTTTTTCATTAACAATATACATTTTTGAAAAATAATTAATCCACTGAATGTTTAGAGTGGTGCAAAATAAAAGTAGGCCTATTCATTTTACTAAGAAAATATGTATAATAAAGTTTCCTGACTTTGCTAGATTTTAGTTGTTTCATGATAAAGATAAAAAAATGGCTTCCATTCCTCAGATTCAAGCCAATAAGAAAACAAAAAAGCCACTTTCCCTTTGGATAGGTAAGCTAAATATTTTGTAAATAAAGGGAACTTTTGGTGAGTGTGAGGGACCAAACTTAAATAAGGACAAAAGGTGTTCAAAATTTGAAAAAGTGCTTTCATTTAATCGTGTAAAAAGGGTTAACAAAGGCTCAAAAGCAATACAAAATAACTTAAATACATAATCTGGGCCCAACTTAACTGAGGTCAACAGAGGATCCAACTCAAACAAAAAACTGACCTGCAAACAAAGAACTAAAGGCTGCTTAAAAAGGGATGGAGTAACCCAAGTCGACAAAATGAGGGAGGCACAACATAACAAAAGAACCAATAAATACAAAATTAACCATTCTATGAAACAAATAAAGCAAAACTTACTTACTTAACAGAAACAATAAATGAGTATTTAAGTGACAAACTAATTGAAAACTTCTTGAAACAAGTCTCCCCGTCAGTCTTTCAAAGATGGTATGCTCCAAGTTTCCTTCTCCAGCTGGTTTGTATCAGCAGCACCTCAAACAAAAGAACAAGTGTAAATAAACCATACAGACAGACATTAGCTAAAGTGTGCACCCATTAGAAAATACCTGTTTAAAATAACCAACTTAAACATAAATTATAATATAATATAAAGCAAGAAAAGAAAATACTAACACGATGTGGTGGTGGGAGGATCATCCACCACAGTGAGAATTAACCGTAGCAGGTCTGGCAAACACCGGGAGGGCACCTTTTACAGGCCAGGAGGTGTTGAACTTGGATCTATAACTTTCAAAAGATAAGTTAAATGATGGTTCTCTAAAAATGGCAACACATTTCCTGTTGTAGATATTTAGCAATAACCAATGAGTTTTGTTGTTTTGTCGTATTACAGTTGCAGCACTAAAAAGGTTTTTTTTGGACTGAATAAAATAATGGCTCTTTGGATTGTAAAGGTTGCAGGTTTCTGGTATGAAGTCTGTCCATTAGGCCAAAATAAATAATTGGAATAAAGATTTACCAGTCATGACCTTGAAATGTTCAACCTGCTGTACTGCACTGTTGAAATGTTTTCAATTTCATATATTGTATATCTTTGCCCAGCTCCTCGCACCTTATAGCCCAGCTAACATATTCCTGTTCATGCTGTTTGTGCCTGTGAAGCTTTTATGATATAGAGGTGCCTTATATCGTTTTTTACTGCAGGTCTTTACCAGGAGTTTTTGACTGCTGGGTACCTCCATAGACCAGAAAATGGGACGCATCTTCTTGGATCACATCGGAGGGACGCGCCTCTTCTCTTGTGCCAACTGCGACACCATCCTAACCAATCGGTCTGAGCTCATCTCCACACGATTCACTGGAGCCACAGGCAGAGCTTTCCTCTTCAATAAGGTATGCTCCAGCTGACTGAGTACACTAGCTTTGACATTTTTAATCAGAGTCTACCAAGAATATAATATATACTCTCAGTGTGTTTTTAAATAATAATTTGGTGTGTTTATGACGTATAAACATAAATAGTACATCTACTTCCACAAATACTTGATAAATTGTTTTGAATCAATTTCAAAATAATAATCTTTGTCGTGTGTGGATAGTTTAAATGGATTTTGTTTAGGGCTGAATAATTCTGTCAGAAAAATGAAAATTATGAATATGTTGAACCAATACATTATTGCAATTTTGCACCACCAACAAAAAAAGAGTTCATTGTTACAGGACTTTACTGTTAGCTGCTACTCTCTCCTTCCATCTGTGCAATTGCAAACCCACTTTAAACATATTAAAGGGCCAGAGTGAGAAATTTAGTTACTTATTCATGTTTAAATTTAATCTGAAAATTGCATTTTGTTAAATTGCAATCATAATGCAAATGTAATTAATGGCCCAGCCCTGATTAATCTCTTTAATTGCTCATTCAAATGTGCTGGGATGGGAATGACTTAAAAACATAGCCAAAGTTTCAACCATCTTACCCAAAGTATTACACTTACATGAAAGGAAATTGGTTAGAATGATCATGAATTATGCAAGAAACTAAATAATAAAGCACATCTATTCCATATATAGATATTATGGAATTATATCTATATATGGAATAGTGCTGCTTCTAATAATTATTTTGCAAATCGATTAATCTGTCTATTAATTTTTTGATGAATTGATTTATAATCCAGCAGCCAAAGGTTCCATTTTCACAAAATGAAACCAGGTGAAACTAAAACGCTTCATCGAGGAGTTCTGGATAGAGAATATTGGCAGAATAAAAAATGTTTTGTTATCTTAAATGCAAAATGTTTACCGGTACATATTTTTGTTGTAATTACCGGTACAGCTCTAAGTGGGTCGTTCTGTCAGCTAAAGGCATATTTTAGAGTCTCAATACTCCAGTTTACGATTAATCGATTAAATTAATTGTTATTCACAATTAAACTGATTATTTCAGCCCTAATATGGAATAATAGGCATACAGTAATAGAACTAAATTCCTCAGTCTTACCTAAATGTTAAAATGGTAGTATATAAGTTATACACCAGTTTAACTGATTTTTGATAGTATTCTCTTGCAAAAAAGCCTACGGTAATATAAACAGGAGATCTATGCCACGTATTAAAGTTAGTAAACATCTGTTCATCTCACTCACTTCAGGTGGTGAACCTGCAGTACAGCGAAGTTCAGGACAGAGTGATGCTCACCGGCAGGCACATGGTGAGGGACGTCAGCTGCAAGAACTGCAACAGCAAGCTGGGCTGGATCTATGAGTTTGCCACTGAGGACAGCCAGCGGTACAAAGAAGGGCGCGTCATCCTGGAGAGGGCGCTGGTGAGAGAGAGCGAGGGCTTCGAGGAGCACGTCCCCTCAGACAACTCCTGAGCTCTCGACCCGCTCACACCCTCCTGCTCCTCTCTCTCTTTTTTTTTTTTTTCTTCCTTTCCGCCTCTACACTGCACATCACCATTTTTTTTTTTTTTCTTCCTTTCCGCCTCTACACTGCACATCACCACCTGCAGACTTTGGGGCCTGTGCTGTTCCTAAATTATCCCTGCTGTTTCAACTAAGACTTTTGGAGATTCACAGAAAAAAAAATGGTGTGCTGGAAAGGAACCCACCAATATATTCACAAGACCCTCACCACAGATGTCCCCTTCACTCAGCTGTACACGTGCGGTCACTGAGTTTCCATTAGAAACACGGATGTCAGCTTGCCATCTCTGGATCTGGAGATAAGTGGAAGGAATTCTGCTGAATTCAGAGAGTGCTGGTCATAATCGTTCAAACGATGCATCCCTCTACTTCTTAGTTTTGTGGTATTTGTGCTCCTGTGTTGTGGAACTACCACTGAATGCATTCATGATACCGAGATGTTTATTCTGTATCAGTTACATTATTCTAGTAGCTTCTAGTTTGACGATTGTAATATAGTTTAAAATCTCTGTTTTCATCCAAATGACACAGTGAGGACTGCACAGAATGATGTCATATTGTAATATCTTTACGCCCAATAGGAATCCAGCTCCTTCTTTGCTTATGTACATGATTTGATCATTTAGGTGTACAGGGGGCGTCCTTCGCAGCTACTGCTCACAGTTTTCAGCTGTTATCCTGGATTGTGGGCTGGTCCGTTAGCAGTGTAAAAAGTGCAGTTTCCAAGGACTGTATTTTAAGATGACATCCCAGGATATTCTACAAAAACGCAGAACTTTTTGCTCCTTTTTGGCACAAGATGTCTGCCATTTCTGGCATCATGGTGACCCGCTCTTTATATAATCTACTGCTTTTGTTATCAGATGGCTTGTTTCATTAAACCAAAAGACAGGCAAGCTTTAATGGGGTCCTTAGAGCCCCCTTTTTTGGGGACTAGACAGTAGTTTGTTTTTATTGTCAAATTTTAGGGATTTAAAAAAATTTTTTTTATGACATCTGATGTCAATGTTTGGCTTTGTTTTTGGCTGTAGTGTGATCACGGTGCTGGTTACAGGTTTACATATGCTCATCACTATCAGCATCAATGTCATTGATTTTGGACCTTTTAATGATTTTCCTTGAAAACAAAACTTCAATAAATTAAAACTACCAGAAAGTGATGAAGAAGTTTGAAATTATTGCTTTTTATTTTATTTTTTTCCAGTTTGGACAGGTTTAACACATACAGGCTCACGGAAATACATCCAATCCCCTTTAACGTTTAATTAAATGTCCCAGTTCAACCTCGCGTTTTTTAAAGCTGCTGGAATGACAGACTTGGCTTCTAGAACATGGTCTGCTAACGTTCAACATGGTTGAGGACAAATCTTTTCAATACGCTCATCTTAGCCGTCTCAAATTGTCAATTTAAGATAGATGGAAATGGATTTTAAGCTTCAAAGATATAACATCATGATATGAAGGAAAAAAATAAGACATTGGGATTTAATTAAATAAAAGTAGGGGCTAATAATTTGAATGACTTTTTCTCACTTTGCTCCTTGTTGACCGTCATGATGACCCCCGCCAGTTGTCCGTGATGAAAGGCCATCCTTTGTCAAAAATTGTTGGTAAGCTGGGTTTCAGTGGGTGGCATCCATGCTTTACAACTGAGATATTGCATTAACTGAATTTGCAGTGATGATTGTGATTTAATGTATTGCAGGGATAACAGAAGTACCATGTTTGCAAGAGTGTAGGTGAACTGTAAAGCATGGTGATGGCTTCATTGTGCTGTGAGTCGAAGTGTATAGAGTAATGACTCTTCACCATAAAATCAACAGGTAGGTTGTTGAAACTGAGTGTTCCATTAAAAAATGACGCCAAATAGACATAAAAAACAATTACAACTGGTTAAACTTAAGCTTCTGAACTGAGAACATTAAGCTTTTTAATAACCTTTGGACCTAAACAACCAGTTGAAAGAAAACCAGAAATTGCGGTTAAGATGCAACTTGATTAATAACATTAAACCTGTTAATGGTCGGGGGTTTTAAAGTTATTCATCCATTTATATCCCCAAATAAATGACCAGCATAAGCATATGTAACCATGTGACGTGCACTATAAGACATGACGGTATTTTGATCATAGATATTTGTGCATTATAGCTGATTCAGAAGTTGTAGAGAGAAATAAAATAAAAATTTTTTTAGATTTTGTTTTCCAAGTTTAAATGCAATATTTATAATTAGAAATGATCTTTATAAAGTCATTACCTAAACGATGGTTAAGGATTCGCAGGTCACACGAGGTAGTGAAATAGTGAAAACAAATGCATGTAGCATAAAGTATTCTGTTGTTTAGGTTTTTATATTGTATTCACAGGCCTATTGATTTAATCTGCTTCCTATTATACGAGTGCTTTCTGATGAAGCTGTTGAATAATTTTCTTGATTTAAAAGATTAATTTCCTTTTGTGGCTTTAACCAGATTTCCTCTTATATTTCTTTATAAAGATGTAGTCTTGTGGAGCTCACCTTTTTTAATCATTAAAATAATGTGTATTAACTGATGGTTATGTTTTTTTGTTTTTTTTATATATATATATATATATATATATATATATATATATATATATATATATATATATATATATATATATCATTGTTTATGAGGAAGATAAAGCCGCTGAAGTTAGATTGTTGACCTGTAGGTGGCAGCAGAGTACAGAACAAAGAGCTTCCAAGATGTTCCCTGCTGGAAATGCTGCTGATGCTGCTGTCATGTTTCCCTGCAAGTCTATTGATGTCACTCTATGGAACAGATTAAATATGGATCTCATGAATTATTGATAATAAAGTACAAAAAAAAAAAAGATAAGGTATTAAAAACAAGTAGAAGCCAAGCGGATCTAAATCATGCAGCCCCTCAGTACGAAAACAAAACAGCTTCGACATCTGGTTTATAAATAGGAAGTGATGACTTACTCCTTAATCCACCCACTAATATTGCAGTGCTGCCGTAGAGTTATTTATAGCCGTGATGCTGCTGCTGGGAGCCGTCTGTGTTAGTGTGTGTTGGAGAAAGACTGTGTCACTAGGGGTGGATCAACAACAGGTCTCCTTTTTCTGCAGTGGCTCCTCAGAGTGGCCGTCCAGGACTTTAACTTTGCCCACAGGCATATAAACAAAGCTCAAACTGCCCAGCTTGCAGATGCAATGCAAACGTTTTCCTCTTTTCTTGCAGCATCTATGGCTTCTGACTCAGTCTGCTGTCATTTGAAAGTCATTCATGACTTGAGGCAAGAAAGAGGCTTCCTCTCCAGAAGTCAGTGTTTCTAGCTTACTTAGCTGTAGCTGTTGTCTCCACATCATCTCAAATGTTAATTGAGAGTCATCTGATGAAAAAAAAAATATCCACCCTACATAAATGATCATGTTTCTCAGCATAAAAAAGGAAAAAATCAGTTCTCTGAGATGTTTACTGCTTGTTAAATGCAATTGAAATGTGAAAGTGAAAGAAGGAATTGTGAAAAGAGATCAGTTTTACCCTAAGACATATTGATCAGTAAAATTGTCCCTAATTGGATGCCTGTGTGCGTCATCCATCCATTCTCCTTTTAGAAGAAATATTAAGTTATATTGAGAAGCCGGAGTGGAACAGTAGGAGAGGAAAAAACGAGGGGAGTGTTTGGATAATTGCCCTCTTAATTGGCTCATGATTCACCGTCCTGTGAGTTTTTTTAGCCTTTGTTTCTCTTTTGTTTTATGGAATGTTATCGACACCTCTACGCCCCTTTAGATTACAGAATAAACTTCTTTTTCCACTTCTCTCCTCGCATGCACAAAAGAAGTGACATCACTCTGTCACCAGTAGAAAATAGCATGCTTTCCATTGACATCATTCCACATCCCGTTGCCGGGAGACGAGAGGAGTCAACACGAGTTACTATGGTGACTGCACTTCACCTTCAAAGCTCCTGACCTTTTTGGTTGTCTACGGTAGATGTGTGTGTGAGTGTGGGCAAAGCACACATGGCAAACAGTGGTCCTAGTGTTGTGTAATGTGAACGTTCAAGGCCTTGTTCACTCATGCCCTGCAGCCCAAAAGCTGTTTTAGATAGAAAAGGCCTCAGAGTCGCTTACAGCTGTTCAAAATGTCACGTATGACTCCAAATATAAAATACATTAGAAACTACTGAGTAAGACAAAAGCTGCTAGATTTCCTTACAAATCTATAAGAGAGATAGGTCTGCTGTGTTTTTGCAGAGATGAGGATAGGTGGATCTAAAAAGATAACATTTATTTTTCAGTAGATTAATCAAGTAAAAGTTATTTATAATATAGATCAGACCAGGTAATCTATATTATACAAAATTACTTTCCTACCCTTTACCAAAACTTGTTGCATAAGCTGGCTCTCCATACAGCACTACATACAAGCCTATTAATGGTAAATTCAGTGGAAGGAAAATCATGTGGCAGAAAAATGAATATATGAATACTGGCAGGCAATCATAGCCCATTTATCTTTTTCTCCAGGTTTTGAGTCTCAAGAGCTATAGCAAAAGGTGCAGCAATTAAATATTTTGTGTTAACCCGTTTTTGCAAATATGCAACAAACCCTTTGTATTACATACACAGCCTAGATGGCTTGTTAATCCCCCAGTGCCAGTTAATAAGCATTCAGTGTGGAGCTAGGAACCTTGTTTCCGTTACACCTGCTCCCTATCGGTGTAAATTATCATTGATTTTTGTAAATATCACAAATCAATAACCTACATTTCTATGTATTTTATAATAAATAGAAAGTTTAGAAATGTCATTTTGCAACTAAAGGCCTGTTTAATAATTTAGGCATCAAGGGGTTAAACCACTTTTTGTATTAAGGAACGAGCCAGTGGCTAAGCAGAAAAAAGTACGTTGAATTATTCTTTTTAGAGGAAAATAAATGTGTTTCTTTTAGAGAAGTCTCGAACAGTTGGTACAAATTATGCCCCTTTTGAAAAAAATTGCATTGCCTTGTTATTTCGTAGGATTGTTTTTTTTTTTTTTTTTTTTGGTTGAGAAAAATGTTTTAGCCCACACTCGATTACAGGAATGGGATATGGATCGCTAATTCTTTTAAAGGAGCAACAACTAATGACACCTAGTGCTTCAAATTGGAGCAATAAACAAAGTAGTTCTAAGATGTTCTGGACTGTACCACTAGGTATGAAAGGAGATAAACGTTGCTGATGGAGAGGACTGATTGTTTATAGGAAATGTCCCATATTATGATTTTGGTTCATTTTGCAGTTAATTTCTCTTAAAAGCAGTGTTTTTAAACCCTATGAAACAGATAAACATCCCATAATGTGCAGGACAGTGTGCGTTGAGGACCAGGTTTAAAACAACAGTGCTTTAAAGATTTCTTGTGTAAAACCAGGGGTGTCAAACTGGTTCCATAAAGGGCCATGTGGCTGCAAACCAAACTCCAGTCATCTCATCAAGTCATCATGACTGGAGTCTGGTGTGCGATTGCCTGGTTGGAAAGAAAACCTGCAGCCACACGGCCCTTTCTGCAACCAGTTTGACATCCCTGTGTTAAGCCATATGTAATGACTTAACACCCTTTAGAGTAAAAGTTAAACATCTGATCCAGTTTAAAATGACTGTGAAATAAAGGCAAATTATACTAAAAGATGAATAACTTGCATTGTAGCTATGACTCCACATTTGTTTTGGCAATTTAAACTCAGTGAAACTCTTGAAACATGAAATCCGCTGGTGAAGACGAGCCAGATTTGCTTCATTCTTAAAATGAGACGAAGGACCGCACAAAGTCCCCCAGATGGACAGAAATGGCCCTCGCACCGCCCTTCTGCCATCACAGGTTTGGATCAAAGCTTGATGAGGGTTTAATTCCCTCTGCTATAACTGGCTGGGCTGCAGCTGTTAGTTAAGCTTAAGCTAAGATACACAAGAAAACAACTCCAGGAGACTTTAATGA